GGGTTCATAATTTTTTTATTAAATAATTATCATTTTATAAATGGTGGATTGTGTAATTAGTGTTTTATAGATTGTTTGTACAAGTTGATGTATTTTTTTGGGTCCTTTTTTTATGAGAAAGAAATATTAATTTGATAAGATATTGATGATTTATAATTTATCATAACATGGAAATTTTTTTAATGACACAAGTTTACAAATTCCAGTAAGTTAACTTTTGAATAAATATTTATGGGTGCTATTTTTAGTTGTAATTAAATAAGTAGTTTCAAGAATATGAATTTGATGCATTTTAAATTTAAATTTATGGGCTTTGATTATTAAAGTTAGGTTTCTCCATCTCTTTATTGACATTTGTTTCCAGGAGAATTTTTGTATAGGTAATATTTTGTTGAGTATGCATGCAAAGTGCGGGTGTGTTAAGGATATAGTTTAAGCTTTCCGCTTAGTTCATCCCCATGTTCAGTCTTTAATTTTTTTGTATTTATGCTCAATGTTCGATTTCTTTAAATTATAAAGTCGCTAGTTAGGTTTATATATGGTATTGAAGGCATAGAAAGAACATATAAAAATAAGAAGGCATATTGACATTTGTATGCTTTTGAAAATATTTGTATTAAGTGATTAGTGCTCGATTTTGTGTTGTACAATATTTTCAGGGATGGATTTTGTCCACTTCTTTTTAAAAAATTGTTGTCACGATTTCATATAGTAGCTTAATTCGTTGGGATGTTCGATTGTTATATTGTATGTGCGTTTTTTGTTACGGGTTATTACTATTGTGTATACAAGCAGGAAATTTTTAGATTTCTATTTTGAGAGAAAACTATCCTACGGGCCTTGAATGGATCTCCAATGTCTTTCAAATAATTACTAACATTATTGTTTAGAAGTTTGTATTAGTTTTTAGGCACAAAATAATTATAATAACCATTTTAGTTTCCAATACATTGGTGGATATCACGTTATGTTACCCAAATTCATTCTATCGCATTTTTCCCTAGTGGAAGATCATGAGTTTCTAAGTTAGAAAATTCTAGGCAGGGTTTGTATTTTTAACTTAAAGTTTTCTTATCATGTAGGCGAATTGCCTGCATTTTCTTCTGGGGGGAACTTCACTCACCATAGAATCATGGTAAACACCGGTGAGGTCATCAAGTCAGTACACAATAAATTGAATTTGAATTATTATAATGTAAGTATGGCTTCATCAAAAAATTTTTAAAATTTCATTTATATTTTAATGTGTTAACATCTGTAAGTGCATGTTACAGGGCGAAGAAGAGGTCAGGAAAAACACAAGAAAAACCAGAGCTTATAAAGCGACAGAAAACTAAAAAGGTTGCTGGCAACCTTAAAATTTCAACAATTTCAATATTTGTTTATTCACTAACTTTAAGTTGTAAAACATTTTTCAGGATCTTCTTCGAACCCGATGCTCGCCTTCAATACTGGTTAAAACAATTGGAGACCTTAGTGAGGTACAAAAGGAAGGTGTCAAGGAAATGGAATTGGGGGGTTTATTAAGTCTAAAAAGCCACTGGTTGAAAAAGGGTTTATGTGAATGGATATTGAGTAGATTTGACCTTGATACACGTATTCTAAACATGTACAACCAATCTTACATTTTTACAGCATTGGATGTAGAATGGATATTGGGGTTACATTATAGAGGGGTTGAATTGAAGACGACTGGCTCCCCATATTTAATTGAGGATCTTAAAAATTCAACTTTTTATGGTAAAAATGAGTTGTTGTTGCATGAAATAGGGTTTAGGCTAGGGAAAATAAAGGAAGATTCTGATGAATTTTGACGTTTGTTTCTTTTATTTGCTGTGTGGAGATTTTTGTGCCCCACAATGAATGCCATAGTCAATGTCTCCCTCCTCCACATGTGTTTGGACGTCTCATCTTTGGGGGGTGGGAATTGGGCAAAATTTATCTTTGATTCCATCATTGCAGGGGTACAACATTACAAGTCAAGACAACAAGTTTATGTCAATGGTTGCATTTTTGTCCTCGTGGTAACATTTATATTTGGTTACTGTTGGTTATCCAACTCTTTTATGCACTCTTATTTTTATTAATCATATGTTGTGTGTCATATAGATTTTCTACCTTGAGTGTGCGACACCAATAGAGGAGATTGTGGCCCCATTGTTGTCTCGACCAACACCACGAATTGGATCATGGAGTGATGAAGATATAAGAACAATGCTACAACAACTACAAAAGTTAGGAGGTTACAAAAATGACAAGGTAAATCAGTATGATTCCCCCACAACAATCTAATTTTCTTTTAAATTTATTCATGTTACTTATTAAATACGATATTTGGCATCCTTAAATTAGATTGAAGTCGCATTTGCTGAGGGGCGCCCTAATCCATCAGGAGTCAATGAAGCCATCGGTGGTCCACTAAACAAGTAGGTGTATTATTCAACAACTACTCCTACCAACAGTATTTCCAATGGTGTCAGTTAAGTTAAACAAACATTTTTCATTTGCTTAGGAAATTGAAGTAAGACTTACAAGATTAGAGGTGGATCAAGCCTCTATCAAGCAAGCCATGCGGAAGGAGTTGGCGAAAGTGAATGAAGAGCTTAACTCAACGAAGAATTTTATACAAGAGCTTTCCGACCAACTAGACAAGTTTTGCAACAAGTCGAATGAAAAAGTTCTCTTAGTTGATAGTGGAGAGGCGAGTGGACAGTGAGAATTTTTTAATTTTAATGTTTCAAAAATTGTCTGTTATACACTTTAAATTTTAATATTGAAATTTTGTGTGCATAACATTTGTAGGACGAAGATGTTGATTACTCTTATCCTCCACCTCCTGAAGGTGGGTACCCTCACATAGAGACCCTACAAGATTTCCACAAGCAAAATTTGTGGGTGTATATACTGAACAACGAGTTGCCTCGAACGTAAGTGAATTGTAAAATTTCTCAAAACAAGTATATATGTCATAATTTGTAAGTGACACGTGAATTATGTTGTGACTTGAATAAGCAGGGAGGAGTTGGTGTGGTTTGATGAAAACAACTTTTTTCTTAAGCGATCAGATTTGCAATCATTGGGTGAAAATGAATGGGTGTGCAATTCTGTAAGGGCATTTCCTATTATTCCCTTATTGTCTTCAATTATTATGTGGGATTTAAAGCATTCAATAAATGACACTTAACTTCTTGTTCACTTAACAGGTAATAAGTGCACTGCCATTGATTATGTCGGATGATGAAAAGCTCAACAACATCACTGATAAGGAGCGATGGTACTTGCCGACATGGTTCTCGGTAAAGTATTCCACCTCATCTGTGTTGTGCACTGCCTACATTTGCTTATGATTTCTATGTTATGATTGTTTTTTGTAGCAACAAGCTGTTGCAATAGAGTTGTCAGAAAATGGTGTTTTGGACGATAAATTTAGATCCAACTATGGCTATTACATTCACGACATTAACAAATGTGATAAGGTTTGACGTTGCTGCATATATTATATTTTTCATCCTTATTAATAAATGGATGTTTATGATGTCTCAATGATCATTGTTTTACATGTTTTATACTGTAGATATATGTACCAATCCATGATGGGGAATGTCATTAGTACTTAATTGTAATAGATGTATAGAATAAGGAGGTCATGATTCTCGACACATTGCGTAATCCCAGCAAGAAATATCACCGATTTACACAGACTGTGAAAACAGTAAAGTTTATGTACTCAAACTACATTTTGTGAATGGTGTAATCCCAATATTTATCATCTACATATTTCGTACTAGTGAACAGGTGAATGTACTCCATCGTCTAATTGCTGATTTATCGGAAGAGGTCACCCAAATTCACAAATGGCCTATCATTACGCCAAGATGGGCATCGATACAAAACAATGGCTACGATTGTGGAATGTACATCATCGAGATGATGCGGGTGCCACATTTGGGTCAAAAATTCAAGATAAGGGTATATAGTACACAAAATATTGAAGTACCTCGTATAGTGTTGTTTTAGAACCGTTATAGAGTGTGGTTTTTTGTTCTGAAAAAGCCCATGTTTTCATTCTTGTGTATGAAACTTGTATAGAAACGCGCGTGAAGTTGGCTATCAGTCTTGTAACACACCTTGCCAACAAAAATAGGGACAAGATAATGTTTAGGGCATCAGTATTAGGATGATATTGGGGGTGTGCATCCTGGGCATCTTTATCTCATTATCAATTTGTGTGGTCATTCTAATGTATGCCAATGATTATTGCAGATGGAGTTACATTTATCCCTTCACAAATGAACTTGTCCCTGTTGGATTTGGGTGACTTACACTGATCAATCTCTCACCATTCAGCGGTGTCTCTCTATCTCTCCACCTCTCTGCTCCTATCACACACACACACACACACAAATAGGGTTCATTGTCAAATCTTTCTACCCTGTGAGTATAATAAAGTGCTAATAGTTGAAATATTTTTGCTGGGTTCTTTTTGAGTTTCTTATATTATATGCATTTGACAGTCATGTGCAGAACAATGAATTAAGTGGTCCTCTAGATGTTCTGGCTAGTTTGCCTTTGATGGAGCTGTAAGTTCTTCTTATTATCGGGGCTTGGGTTGGAAATATGACAGTTATTCTTACACCACTATGTTTTTTGTAGAAATGTTGCAAACAACAATTTCAATGGATGGATACCACAAGATTTTAAGTCTATCCCAAATTTTGTGTAAGTAATATATCTCGCTTTCTTACTAGGCTTATTCATGTTCTAACCTTACAAGTTAAAAATATTCTGATGTTTATAGCAAAATATGATGATGTGACACCAAAAATCCATTGTAAAATTTCCAGATAATTGTATTGCTCCTTACTGTTTATGTTATTGAGGATGCTTTTTACTATATGGGTCTGTTTCACTCATGTTCTTTGGTTATCTGAAATGTATTTAACTTTCAATAACAAACCAATGGACGTTGTGAAATCTATTTAGCTATCAATAACAAACCAATGGAGGATGCTTCTTTGATTCTGGTAAACTCTATTTTGGGACGTTGTGAATGCCCTTGGTCTTATCTAGATATAGTGAGGCAGGTTAAAGGTATTTTGAGCAGTCTGGAATTTTGCCTAGTTCATGTTTATAGAGAAGCAAATTATGTTGTTGACAGGCTGGCTGGAAATGTTGTTCGGAACAGGAGGCTGGCTGGATATGTTGTTATGATCAGCAAGGTTTGCATGTGTTGCGTAAAAAAAAAGCTGATGGTGTTCAATGACAAGGGTTAAGTGTTGAAGGTTTTGGTGAATTGTATGGCTAAATGTTAAGTGTTGATTTGTTTGAAACGGGATGAAGTTCAATGTTGTGTTAAGTGTTGAAGCTAATGTTGTTTTGTTGATTTTGTATACTTTTAATAGTCATACGAAATATAAGTGTTGATAGATTCAACTTCCAATGTGTTTTATTACTTGCTCATCTTCACCAAGGTAACTCCAAGAATTTTATCAAATTTTTGAAGTCTATTATGAGTGGACTATATTGAATTTGATTCATTAGGCCATATTTATGTCAAATAAAATTATGTTGGCTTTGTGTAAGACCTCAAGTTCATGTGTTAATAATGCTGGTCTTAATAGTTATAACTGTAGGATTAAACCTAAGTCAGACTTTTGTCTTGCAACATGTACATGATACCACAATATTTTAAGACTGCATTGTTTGATAGTATTGTCTATCCCCTGCCCAGCATCTTGTTTTACTTAAAAATTAAATTCAACTCATGCAAGATTTTTGTGTTTAAAATGTTTAATCTACGGCTACGATTGTTGAGTTCATTTCTTTTTTATTCGTGTATCATGCTTCAGTTTGGTTCAAACTTGTAAGTTAAAATAAAGTAGTTTGTAGTTACAAATGGGCCATGTTTTACATGATGTGCCCTCCTCATTTATACTCCATGTGATGGATGGAGGCTCTGTCATATAACTTTGGGAGAATAATGTTGGCCTCGGTATAGTATTGACACTTATCTTAACAGAGTTAGGTATTTTATTAGTGGGTATTTGGGTGGGGTTATTTCCACCTCGCATATAAATTTTTTTATCCCATTTAATTTTTTATTATTATCAAACTACTAAGTTCATTTTTTTATAGCCATCGTATATTAATAACTTAGCCCAGCCTCATCCTATATATATACATCTTTAATAAGTAAGTTCATCTTATATCTTTTCACAATTAGAGTTTATCTATTATCTCATTTCATATACTTACAAAACACTATTTTATTTGACCAGTTTGGAATTTTGCCTGGTGCATGTTTATAGAGAAGTGAATTATGTTGCTGACTGGCTAGATATGTTGTTCGGAACAGGAGGCTGGCTGGATATGCTGTTATGGTCAGCAAGGTTTGCCTGTGTTGTGTAAATACAAGCTAATGGTGTTCAATCAAGAGGGTGAAGTGTTGAAGGCTTTGGTGATTTGTATGGCTGAATGTTAAGTGTTGATTTGTTTGAAACGGGATGAAGTTCAGTGTGTAAGTGTTGAAGCTGATTTTGTTTTGTTGATTTTGTATACTTTTAATAGTCATACGAAATATAAGTGTTGATACATTCAACTTCTAATGTGTTTTATTGGATTTCATTCACATTTCCTCTTCTTTTTTATTTTTTTCCTGTTGTTTGGGGTCTTGCAGCAGTATGGACCACATATCTACAATCGAAAAGGTTGCCTCACCAAAGTTTGTCCAGAGAAAGATGCAGCAGAGGATCAAAGTTTAGATATCTGTTTAAGATGTGGCAATTCAGGACACAATATGTTCTCATGCAACAGCAATGAGTACAGTTTTGATGATCTTAGGGTATTAACCTTTGCATAAACTTTCCATGCCACCAATGGCAAATGGTCCAGTCCCCATTATAGCAGAATGAATTTGGATTCCTCTTTTGTGATTATTGTGTGTTTCCATGTTGACAGCAAAGTCAGTGCTATGTCTGCAAGGATTTTGGTCATCTCTGTTGTGATGAATATATAAATAAGAGTCCAAGACTAGTTTCCTGCTATACCTGTGGATAGTCTGGCCATTTGGGTTCTGTAAGTCATACTTAACTATCTATTCACCATGGCAGAATTAAATTTTTTCAAATCATAGTTAGTGTGCCATATGACTGTTCTCGTTTAATTTCTGCCTGTGCAGAAATGTGAAACTGTTTTGGCAGGGTAGTGCAGCCCAGGAAAGTCTTAGCAAGGACCTTCATATGGAAATTATTAGCCCGGGACGTAGTCCTACAATTCCTTGAGAAGCTGAAGAAAAAGGGGTATGAGGTCCTTTACATGGTCGATGCCATTGATGAGTATGTAGTGGGATAGTTGTAGGAGTTTTTTATTATAATGTTGTTAATACTTGTGTATCTTGAAGGATTAAAGCCAAATATGGCTCATTCAACAAGTATATCTCACCAACAACAATCTTTCACCTCTTTTTGTGTATAAATAGATGATGTAATTTTGTAATTTTGGCAGTGCATTTTGTGTATAAATAGAGTTCTGGTAGTGGTTTTGGTTGCATCCTTTTCCTATGGTATTTGTTCGAATATGGGAGCTGAATTTGGAGTCATGTTGGATGGATTGAGTTTGGTAGAAAGATATGGTTTGACTGTTTATAATATTCAGGTTGAATCAGATTCTATGGTTTTGGTGAAAACAATTAAAGGAGAGGTAAAATGTGCTTGGCCACACAGATTAGGCAGATTTTGGGAAGAATGCAATTTCAATTGACCCACGTTTATAGAGGCCAATTCTGTTGCTGACAGATTGGCAAATAAAGCGGTGTTGGATGGCTTCTCATCACACCTTTCAGTTAGAATGAGTTTGGTTCAAGATCATACTTGTCTACCTACTTTGCGAACCAAGACTGGGTACACATGTGTAATAATTCTCGCATTGGGTTTTATTGAAATAGCACTGTACACCATATGACCATGAAATCCGACAACTTGTTCTTACTATATGAACATATTAATGTGAATTAAATCACATTATGGAAAAAAATAAAAGAACAATCTATCATCAAACACAGCACATACCTGCAACAAGTATATCTTATTCAACAAGTATATCTCACCAACAACAAACTTTCACCTCTTTACCATTGCTACTATTGTGAATAAAACTATTTATATGTAACCTACATCTGAAAATGGCATGCACACTACTGTTTGTATAACTGTGCATGCCAATTCAGGTGTAGGTTATATATAAGTAACTATCACATAGAGTAGCCTGAGGCGCTTGGACGATGAAAACGAAGAAGATGAATAGAATTTATCTCAAAAACAATATAGGTACACTATGTTATATGCTTATGTTATATATTATAGTCCCTACCAAACAAAAAAATTGCAAATAAAAAAATTCTGCTTGTATAACTACTAGTCAAAGTTTTTGGATTCCATTTGAACGGGAATGGTTGGTAAGAATGATGGGTAAGAATGGTTAGTGACAATAGTTTGTTGGCTACTGTAGCCATATATAAGGAATGACTCCACATTATTCATATTTCTGTTCATCTTCCTCATCCTTCTCATCAACAAAGGATGACAAAACACCAAGGATCCATTTAAAAAAAATGGCCTGCACAAAAAAAGCAATAGTATCTATATATTTTCGCACATCAAACATCACAACCACCACCCCACAAATCACCAAAATCACCCAACCTCAGTTAGCAAAACACAGGCAAAAAAAAAAAATAATTCAACAAAATACAACCACCACTCCACGGCTAGGAAAACAAAGGCAAAAAAATTGATTAACCAAAACAAGGCAATTGATTCAACAAAACATTGGCAAAAAAGAATTGATTCCAATTTAGCTATTTCTGTTTATACAAAAAAATTAGTATGTGCCACTAAATGAAGGCCATAAACACTATACATGACTTCAACTTTTGTATACAAAAAAATAATATGTCACACATATCATCTCTGATTTTTACCATAATTCTTTTGTTTATCACAATTCTTTTGTTGGTATTGTTGTGCCTTGCTTATGATCTTGTTTCTTGATTCGTTGTATATGTGAGTAATTACTTTGAATGCTAGATCCTTACGCATCGTATTGGATTCATCCTAAAAACAATAACCAATAACCATAGTTAAATTGACAAATGGTACATATACAAATTTAATGTTTGCTGTAAAATATTAAATAAGGAGAATAGCAATCATACCATAATTTTGAATGAGTGATCCAAAAATTGAGCATGCATCTCCTTTATGACAAATATTCCACAGTCATAGCTATTTGTTTGCCTAGGAGCCCAATCCACTCCATATATGTGCCACTTGGTCAATGTTGGCATGTACTTAGGTATGACAATCTCAAGGACTTGATCTAATTGTTTAATCACATTTGCAACAGCAAAATAACGGATATTGTTCGGATATGATGGTAGAGAATCAAATAATAAAATTTTTTCCTTCACTACATCCACCACGCATAAATACCAATGGGTGTTATTGTCGTTCATGGGTATATATATCTACATAAATAAATACAAGATATTAATTATTCTGTAAATGAACAATTGTAAACAAAAAAAAAAATGGGTCATCTAGTACCTTATTACAGTCCTTGAAATCTGAAACGAAGTACCTTTGACAATCAAGCAATCCGATTGTTTTTTCTTGTTCGTTTCCCTGCCTTACCCTTCCAAGTGCTTTTTGCTGGGTATTGAAGGTAAAAAATGGGTACACATTAACCCACATTTTACATATTCAAGATTTAAAAAGTCAAATAATCAACATTAAAAAAATCAAATAAAACACGTTACCGCAAACCATGTGGGTAGATACCACCTTGACCTTTTTGTAAAAGGATTAAACTTCACATCATCCGGAATAATACGAGATGCCAAATCTATTATCTTCATGTCAAAATGTACAAAATCAATACTTGGTCAATGAGTGGAAAACACAATAAATAAATGTCCATTTTTAACTCACAATGTCTAACTACCATTTTCTTTGTTGTAGAGATTCAATAAATGAATATCTATTGGCAGAACATGTTTCAAATCTCACAAGTGTCTCACTGTTTCATGAAAAATATGGATTAATAATTGGTGATGCTCCCACAATTTATAAGAATGAAAAATATGGATTAATAATTGGTGATGCTCCCACAATATATAAGAATAACATGTGAGAATTGGTATATAGTATAAATACCTCATGTCAAGTGTGTTGTCAAAAATGTAATTCAAGACACATTTTATCAAAATCGCTAATTTCATAAATGGGTGGATAATCCTCATCTAATGGAGTACACAAACTGGTGGAATCTGAAATCTGCTTATTCAATACAATGAAAAGTATTATTAAATGTGGCACAATTGTTTAAATAAAGTCAATACAAAGATTTGTTTAAACAAACATTTAATGTGGAATATGAAATTAAACCTCGTGAACGGGTATATTTGAGGGAATGCGAAAAGTTGTTATTTCTTCCAGAACTTTTTGTATATTCACTTTGGCCTTCTCATCATCCTTTTTCTTATCATCCTTTGTTATGTTTTCAACCATATATACATTAGCACCACCAGCCTCATGCTTATTTACAACTTCCTCCATCTTCTCCTCTTCATCTTTATTTGTATTCACCTCCTCTTCATCCTTATTTATGGCTTCGTCATCTTCTACATTTCCAGCTTCCTCCATCTCCACCTCTTCATCCTTATTTCCAGTTGCTTCCATCTCCCCATGTTCATCCTTATTTGCATTCACCTCCTCTTCTTCCTTATTTCCACCTACCTCCAACTGTTCCTCTTCATCCTCATTTGCATTCACCTCATCTTCATCACCCATCTTTACAGCTTCCTCCGTCTTCTTTCCGGTTTCCTCCATGTCCAATCTAGCTTCCTCCATCTCCTTGTCAAACAAAGTTCCATTATTGTTCAACTGTGATAACACACATAGAGCAGTATTATAATGCATTATCGATTAATCTTGTAATCATGTAAAATCACAATTAAGTTTGAAGTGTTATACTGCCGCTATATCTGTCTTGTCCTTCTTCAAGATATTATTTTCATACTTCTTCAAATAAAGTTGCTGCTTACACAAACAAGATTAGAGATTTGGAATATATATTTTTATTACAAAAAATATGGATTTTATAATGACTATCATACCTTAAAAATATCATATGGTGATTTCAAGTATTTACTTGGCTTCCGCTTAGAGTTTCTTCGCAGCACCTTTGCACTATACTTTTGTTGCAGCTTTGGGTTGTAATTTTTTTGGGTGCATGAGTGTGAAGCCGGTTGAAGGTGAGGTGTGTTTACAATAGCATTTGAATGTTGTCGCAGTGTATGTTTCATAGACTTTATATCCGGTGTTTGCACCACTTGAAGCGGAATCCACGTCCGATTATCATATTCGGATTCATTTAAGGTTTCTTCATCTTTATTCTCTCCATCACATTCATTCATGGATTCCACTGCATCAACGATTTTCTCTATCATGGTAACCACGGAATCTACTTTGCTAGATAGGTCATCCTTGATTTTGGCCATTGATTTTTCGAGAGATGAAAATCTTTCTTCCCATGACTGAAAAAAATAATATCAAATCATCATGTACACATAATTAGAAATAGAAATACTCAAAGTCACATATATAAGCCAACATCATTACACATACTTTATATAGGCCACCACTTGACTGCCCTATGTTAGGATCCTCCTTTTTGCATGGAACTTGTGGTTGCGGAACATGTGGTTGTTCATTGAGGGGGGCTACTTCTGGAACCTACAACATACATAAATAACTCTCAATCATAACCCTGACACTTTAATAATAAAATTGAAATTAAAATACAAACACATCACTTATAAACAAATAATATCAATACATACCTCTTTCATATTGGTCAACTTCTTAAAGATAGCCACACCATTTTTTATTTCCAAATCACCCCATGCTCCAATGCGGGGAATGGATTGACATTTGATTGGCACAAGGGAAACCCCTATGGGTGTCAGGTGCTGCAAATAAAAAATCTATAACAAGCAACTACTCTCGATTAGAATAAACTACAACAACCAACTACTCTCAATTGAAACAAAAAAACAATACTAAGTACAAGATCTTTTAGATAATCAATACATTACCTTGAGAACTAGTAGACAACCCTAATATTGTTTTGTCCATATGTCTTATATTTTTTCACCCCCTCAATCAGGGCATCAAACACCAACTTGGCCCAGTTCTTCCCTCCCAAAGAACCAACCTCCACC